ATACACTTCTGAGATGCTGCAGTAATTACTTAGTATGTATTTATTTTGAACATGGCCAAAGGCAGGGAGCATGTAAATACCGCTGAACTTGGCTTATTCAAGCATCTGCTGCACTTACTTAGAGTTTTAAAAACACAGCGAGCCGTAATAGGCTCCCAGCTGGTTGTCACATGATTATCAAGTGGTATTTAGACTGTAAAGTATTTTAATTTAATTTGGGATATGCTTGTCACTAGCTGAATGGAACCATGTGCTCAGTTGCTTGTAAAAGGCTGCGTTTAATATTTGATGTATTTATTTTTTGCATTTGTCATACGCAGGAGGGTTTCAAAGCTTTTTTTCTTTTTTTAATAGATGGTTCAGAACTTTCAGGATGAGAGCTGTTTCTTATTCACCACAATAAAAGGTACAGTGTCTTTTCTGAGCCTAAAGCATAATTGTTTATTCTACCAAGGAGCCTTCTTCAAAGCAGAACCCTGTTCTAGTAAAACTTCCCCAGGCAAAGCGTAATGGTGGATCTAGCAAAGGCTGACTTGCAAAAAACCCACAAACCAACAGCTGCAGGCAGCAGCGGTGGAAAATATCTGTGACTTCCTCCTCTCTTAGCCAAACCTCTCGGCAGCTGCACAGCGCTTCCGGCTTTTCTCCAGGCTTCCACCTCAGACCCAGAGCAGCACTGGGTAACAAACCTCACTGAGCATTCACGGAACAAACTCCTCCCTCCCCCCGCCCCAGCCTGTGCTGTACGCGGGCAGTTCAAGTGAGATGCAGCCAACCCCAGTCCACAGAGAACGTTGTTCAGGTTTCCTCAGCGTGTGTCGTGAGTCTCTCTTTTATGGTGTTTCTGATGAATCCTGTACTTTCTTAGGAGTCCAGTTTATTTCTGGTAAAAAGTGCCAGGAAATTCTTGTCATCAGTGGACAAGTTTGCGCAAATTTTAGCTACAGAAACTGTCCCAACTTTGAAGATCCAATCACGAATTGTTAATCGTAGCAGTTTTGTTCAGCAGAAGTAGGAAATTTTTGAAAGCTGTGTTTTTGCTGTAGGTGAGCTGTATTTTTTAAGTCTGCGGCACCATATCAGCATCCTAACTTGGAACTATTGTTCTGGGTAGTGGTTAGTGAGTGTTGGAGACCTGTTCATCTCAGTCATTAATGAAGCCTTTTAGTGGTACTGCTGCTTCTAAGTATAAAACCAACAGGTTGTGGGGTTTTTAACACTGTTTTCAGTTGGCTTTGTAGTTTAAGGCTGAGCATCACAAAATAGATGATTAAAAACATACATGAAGGATTTATATTGGTCTTGTAGAAGTTAATTTCCTTCTGTGATGTTAACTGTCACTGTCAAATGAGTTGGAGTTTAATGTATAGTAGGAAGTGTTCAGAAATAACCACAGTGATTGTGGTTGTTCTTCAGGCATTAAGTCTGAATAGCAGGTTACTGATATTTCACCGTTCAAGTTTAGTATTTCATAGTAGTAATGAACCACTTCCACACAGTAAAAACCAAGTCAATACTTGGAGATTTATGGTTCTGTTTATGAAAGACTGACACTTTTTTCCTTTCTCAGCTGAAAATGGTGAAGGCTTCCATATAATTCTGAAGTGATGTCACACAACTGCTAGACTGATACTCCAACGCAGAATGAAGTCCTGCCTAACGCTTATGAAGATCATCCAAAACTGTAGGATCTAACTTCACAGTATGTTTCATATTGAAAACACAAAATGACGTTTCTAACGAGCTGTTTGATAGGTGAACTTTCTTATCACTGCCATAGCTAAGTGTCCTCATGAGAGGTATAATGCCATGACAGCTTATGTACAGGCATGGAAGACAATGTGAGCGAAGGTGCTTGCCCTTTACTGAAACAAGGCAAATTGTGGCCAGTAGATGCAGGTTCTAGAAGCGAAGCACTGTTGTTGCATTTCTATTGTCTGCATCCAGTTGGAGATGAATGTAAACTCACCCTGGGGCATTTACCTTTCTGTGCCAGTTTGTCTGTTACTTGCTTGTACCTTATGCTGGTTTTATTTTTTGATGTTAGCAGAGCACATATTAATCCGTGTGGAGATGAGTAGTGAAGCTAAGCTGATAGTGATGATCAGGTCGTCGGGTCTTTGAGAGTAAAGCTGTCAAAACAGCTTCCCGTGTAAATTGTGTATAAGAGTGTATGTAAGAAGTGTAAAAATGCCAGAGCAGGGCTTTTAAGAAGCCCTAGACAGATGCAATATATGCATGCAGCAAACTGCATTATCAATAGTACCTTATTGGAGGGATTAATATAAATCCTATGGGGTACCAAGTAATTGTGTTTTGCTTTAACAAAGTTAATGGAGAAGAATTGCCTATGCATCCTTTATGTTTAGTTTCCTAGGTTCTCTGCGGAGCACTGCTGCAGTTTAACTCTTTGCTTGTAAAATTGTGGGTTTAAACACACTAGCAGTGAGAGGTGGATTTGTATGACTTGGTGCAATTACGCTGATGAGGGAAGATGACCCACTGGCACCACAGGGCTGCCGTAGCTTTCAGCAACATGGAATGAATGGCTTAAGAAACACTAAACGTGTACCATTTAAGTCCCCTTCCCAGCAGGCAAATGCCTCCCGTAGTTGCTATTAGGGACGAGTATCCTACCTTTTCTGTTGACCTGTCGTCGCCCTCCGAGCCGTACTGTACAGCTGTTGCAGTGCCTCTTCCATATGACCAAATTCTTCCTTTTCTTTGAAACAGGCAACATGCTTTTCCCAATATTTTGGCTATTTCTTGTAAAGACACGGCACAGCGCTTCCTTATGTTAACATTACGTTTCAACTGGTTAGGTACTTAGGGGGGAACATTTCAAAAGATACGAAGTGACAGTTTCGTAGCTGGCTTTTTGTGCCTTTGAAAAGTTCCACCTTGATCTCTGGCTTAAAAGCTTGGGAATAGTTTGCTTTTTATGCTGCAGTGTTCGATGTAAACAACTACTACAGCATGTAAAAGAGCACTTTGATTTTTTCATTCCCTCTTTCATAACTGGCTCAAGTGCTTAGCAGAAAAGCTTCTTAAAGCTGTAGCATTTTGAAAATTTAAATTCATCAAAGCTAGAATTTCTTTCCTATTTTTACTTTTTTCTGCACTGAAAGTAAAATTTTATGTACTTAAACATTTCTAAGTTGTTCATCTTTGGGTATTGTTTGGTCCTAGTACATTCTTGAACTGACACTTGTGTCTTTTCAGCTCGCACCCTATTCAAATCCAAATATTTTATAAAAGTGGAAAAATCCTTGATTGGAAAGTATCCAAATATCTAATTTTAAAGAAGATTGAAAGTTGTACAGTAGTTTGTCCAGCTCACTTGAAATTGGAATTAAATTATGGCACCAGCAAATTGCTTTTGTTTTTTAATAAGATGTACACATTTCAATTTAAGTATAATAAATGTTTTTCAATAATTTTGTAAATGTGCTTTCTTTTTGTTTACTTTTTTCCACACCTCCCCGCCCCCCCCAGACTTCTGTTGTTAAGATATAGATGAACTGCAAGACCTAACCCTAGCGATAACAGCAGGTAAAGGTGAATAATGGAAGCTCTGCAGTTTGTCCTGCACCCAACACATGCACATAGATCTTCTGCTTCTAACAGGAAACTTAGTAAAGTTTGAAATAATGGACACAGGTTCACATTTGACATCAGCTGATTGTTTATTTACGTGTCCTATATCACAGTAGGTTCCATTTGGGTTTGTACATCTTCAATGCAATAGACTTACAAGGGTCGTTATGTTCTTAGAAAAAAATGAGCCAACAAAAGGCAGCACAACTTGACATCCTGGTACCAATGACTTCCCTGGTACAGCTGAGAATCAAATCTGCCTAAAACTCTCCACTACAGCAGTGTCTGAATGGAACTCGTACGTGTGATTGTAACACCACTCGTCCGCGGCAGTGCAAAACAAGCCCTGACTGGCTTATTTTGTAGTCGTAAAGAAATCCACGTACTGCACTCTGATCTGTAATTTATCCTACAAGCTGAGATCTTAATTGACCATCCCCCTCATCTGGGAATGTGTGAAGCACGAACACAACATAGCCACTGTTGTCCATAAAAGTCTCTTAATGTTCACACTCCTTTTAAAAAGTGGCTTAAACTTTGGGGGGGGAAATTGCAGTACTAGCCAGTAGTAGCTTCTCCAACTGCTTTTTTAAGTCAGTATTTCTATTAATTTTTAGTAAACACACAGGCCCTGAACTCTTAAAACATACACACACAATCAACCTTACATGAAAAAGCTTTCTGAACTGTTGAGTAGTTTATCTCAGATAATTAAGTTGCTTAAGATAAAAAAGTTTATTTATCTATCTAACCCTCTAGCACTGAAAAACTAAGGATGAAAGCATGGCCTTAAGAGTTAATACATAGATTTTATTATTATTATTATCATTCAGAAGTTGACAGCTTCTTGAGTAACCCAAATGTGAAGAGTTTAGGCCTTCTACATTTGAAAACCACAGGTTTGGTTTGGTTCAACTCCTGCCTACAGATTTATTTGCCCGTCTGCTTGATGTGTCCCTAAAACGGATGGGACAAAGAGCCTGAACTAAATTCCTTGCTCCATCATAGTTCTGGTAACTGAACCTGGTTCCCATTCTCCATCTGTAGAAAAGCAGGAACTTACAGCCCTCTTCCTAGAACCACTGCAGCCTTTCCTTACAAACTGAGGAGGTAATTGAGGACACACAGGAACGGCGTTACAGTAAGCACCATGTATGAGTGTGGCAGCCGGTTACGGCAGAGTGCACCAGCTCTACCGCAGTGGATTTCTTACCCCTTCCAAAGGCCGATGGCATTGGGCATAAAACGTGCTTCAGTGATGGGCAAGCTTTATACTAACACATAGTTCAACTGAACCAAGTTCAAAAACTTGGGAAGTATATAGTTATCTTCAGGTACTACCTTACCTTTTGACACTACCTATTATGTAATTAAATATGAAGCTGAATCATGAAAAAGTATAAGCTGTTTTGCTGTAAGAGCTCATGATTACCTTGCATTTTTTGGTCAACATCTGCTAAAGCTGATTTGTCCTTAAACCTGATACTTCATCTGTCGTGTATATTACAGACCAGCAGGTTCAGTTCTGTGGTGTGCCGGACTTGAGCCCCACCTTACCTCAGAACTTCACACGGAACAATGCTTACAAATGCCAAGTAACTTCCAAGTTTAGTGAACTTTCACCAAGTAGCTGCTATGCTGAAACGCCCCCCACATGTTACACAGTACTTCAGTTCTCATGCCAACAGAAGGAAGGAGTTACTAATACAAACCAAAGCATCACCAACTTAATCCACAGCTGCACGTTACGTTAAGATTTTTTACCTGGAAAAAAACACTTGTCTTGTCACAAAACTGGATGACCAAACACCACCACTAGGACTGTCAGGAAACCGACTCCTTCCACTGACTTGCAGTCCCCTTCTTTTCTTCAGCCACCACTGCCTTTTCCGTGTGGTTGCACTCAACTGTCAAAGAATAATACAGCATCTGCAGAGGCGCTGTCCGCTCCCTCCTACCGAAGGAGGAGGAGTTACTGGAGCAAAGTAAGCGTGAACTTTCACATGAGGTAGATGAGCCTGCGAGTGAAAAGGCTGTGTTATAATGGGAGAGAAATAAACATAAACATAACATCATTTACTACACTAGTAAAAAGCAGCAGCACACCTCCATTACTGCCAACAAGGGGGCTCTCATTAAGGTTGGTTAGCTGAAAAGAAAGCATTTGTGCACTTGATACGATGCAAGCTGTCTTCTCCTGACATGTAACTCTCATGTCCCATCCAGCTATGGCACACTAATGTCTGGGCACTCGCCTGTGCAGGGTTCCCACTTATTCCCCCATTTCCCCATGTAGCACTGATCAGCCCAGACAGCCCTCGATCAAGAAGAGAGGCGTGTGTTCTGCTGCAGGGGAGGGACGGACTCCTGGCTACTGCAGAAAGACTTACCTGTGTCTTGTCTCCCATGTTCCTTCCCTGCTTCTCTCATCCTAGAAAGCAGCATGGAATAGAACAGGGCATCTGCCCTCAGTAGTCCAACTGCAAAAGTGTTTGGACAAGAATCTGGGATACGAAGCTGCAGACAAGTTTAACAGTAAGGCTAAACACTGCCCCGCAAGGTAGGTGGTCCCTGACCTCATGGGGGAGGTACAAGGAGGAAAAGAGTTTGTGGCTGGATTCCAGGGCCTAGCGGCCCTACAGCCCATTAACTGAAATCTCCATGCAGATGTTTTACTGTTGGCTCTGTACATTAACATGTATTAGCATTAAGAGAGTTCCAGAATGCCACTACACAACCCTAAAACCAGAGAAGCCTGTATTTGAAAACACACAGAACGCAGAAGATAAGCGCTCATCATTCTAACAGCAAAAGTGTCATGAGTCATAAACAGACTTAGATAATTACCACTGCTCATATAGATCCCTAGAGATGAGGACCTAACAGAGCACTACTCAGACTCTGGTTTTCCATCCTCCCTTGCCTGGGATATCTGCAGGATTCGTACAGTCTCAAGCAGTATCAGCGGCTCGGGCATTCCCACCGGAACAAGTCACCAAACACGTACTCTGATTCGTTTGATTCCAGCTCTCGTGACTTGCTGACAGTCATACAACTCAATTCTCTCCAAGTTGTGGCAGTTCTCCAGGTGTTCCAGAGTCACGTCAGTGATGAGAAGACAGTTATCAAGCTCCAGTACCTGCAGCCTCTCGTGACCACATGTACTGTTGCTCAGATGAAGAATCCCATCATCAGTGATCAATTCACAGTGAGATAAGCTCTAAAACAGAGAGACAAACAGTTAACGACATCACAGTCCTAGTTACTCTGTCCTCTAAACATCAGAAGTCCTCTTCAACCACCTTCATTCTAGTGGTTAAACAGTTACAAAGAGCATTCAGCTGAAATTCAGAAAAGCAACAAAAGAAACAGCTCTACTTAACAAAGGGCTGTACTTTATTTTTAACTTTCCTTCAAAATGAGCAGAGTCCCAAAACATGCACCACTGACAAACTTCTCAGGCCTACTTGCTGTCTAGGAAGATGGAAATTCTGTTCCAGTTGTCACACACCTCCATTCCCAATGGGTGCAAACAATACACGTGCTGTGCCACAAAGAAGAGACAACTTTAAAGGATGATCAAGAACTTCTAGAAATAGATGAGGATCTCCTGACAGGAGCTACTGTTTCACAGCTCCCATGTTTTCATATATGCCACCAGGGCCAAGCCTGTGCAAGCCCTCATAGATAAAGAACAATCAAGACTGGACCGGTTTGCCAAATAATGATTTCAGGAAAACCGTGAGCACTCAGCACCCCAGGCTGTACATACAAGCAGTAATAAACATCTTGTACAGCTGCAGGAGCAGGTCTTTTCTGCAACAGTAAGCATAAAAAACTAAAAAATTCTGCTCCTCTTCAGCATGTTTTTTTACTCACTTGAATTTGAAGAGCATGGAAAAAGTTGCAGCATCTCAGCCAGTAGCACCACATTAACCAGCTTCCTGGTTCCTTTAGGGAATTAATGACTTCTGGAGAAGCAATGATGATGACAAGAGGAAACAGACTTTCCTCAGAGGAGGCTTAAAAACCACTCTTCGCCAGCAGTGACATGAATGGTCTCGAGTCTTCTGCACTAGAAATGTGCAGGATCTAGGAACTCTGCTCCTCTCGCCCCAGGCTCTGAGCTAGCTCCTGGCTTTCTGCTCAGCCCTGCGTCTTGCCTGTACTTGTATCTAAGTCTAATGGTGACTAGTTCTGAGGTAGCATTTCCTTGCCACAAACATTTTTCAGACAGCAACTGGTGAAGAAACACTTGGAGCAATCCAAAAGTGCTTTTTAACTCGGCGGAAGCTAACAGTAATGTTCAAAAGTACCTCCTGCCAATCATCTGAATCAAACATGTCATCCTCCCCTTCTCTGGGTACAACACATCCATCTTCTTTTATTTGGTAGTCGGAGGACTACCAACCATGGCTTACCCTTATTTTCCTTCAGCTGGAGTCACGAGCATTTCTCACCTGCTACCAGACACACAGGCTTTGTCCTGCCCTTTAGAACAACTTGCCTCTCAACTTTTCTCCTTTGCTGAACAGGATGAACGAGCAACCAGAGAAGAGGCTGGGAGACAGGTCTGCAACTCACCTCGAGCCTGATGGGCAGCCACCCCAGCAGCTTCCCTTCAGCTCCAGCTGGTCCAATTTTACTCACTCACCAAGTGTGAGCAGCTGGCCCTGATTCCAAGCAACACCACAACTAGTGCACACTGTCTCCAAAAGGCACAGAAATGAAGCGCTTGCCCCTGTCAGCAGTGTTTTATATTACGACACGTTTACATTCTACAAGTCTGTCAACTCTTTAAATACTTAATTTCTCTCCTGTACCTGCTTTCTCTATGTATGTGTTGGCTGACAGCTGGAAACAACCAGCAGCTGCAGGGTTAAAGAACATCTATAACAGACTTGCAATTTTGAAGGAAGGACAGGAGGTTATGCGAAGCTGTCGGCTGCGGCAGCAGCCTGCTGGCTAATTAAGAGTTTTCCGTCCCAGAAAGTAAGCAGCTTATAAAATTCCGCTTTCCTGAGACACTGCATTTGGTACTGAAAGGACAAGACAGGATGTACAGCTGAGTTTGCAGAACTCTGTAAAACAAATGTGCCGAATGGTACGTACTCCGTACTGAACCGCACAGTTTTCCTGACATCGTAAGCCCATTAGAAAGTGTTGACAACGTGGAATTTGTTTACAAAGACAGTTGCTTGAAAGCTTTAGAAAAACAGGCAGGGTCATACTCTTTTTTTCGTGAACACATACTAAATGCTGTGTATAAATCAAATATGGCATGATATACTGTGACACTAAGAAACATTATGATCAACTTATCTGAAGAATTCAATTGTCTTCTCATCTCCAGGAACATAATGAGTTTCTCTGTTAATTTGAATGTACGATTATTAAACACTTTCACTAGAAATTACTTAAGTCCAGTAAATAGTAATTTGAGTACTCTGATACTGATGAAGATGTACGTTTGGTTATAATTGGTCTAACAGTGCTTTTTCTTATTTCCACTGAGTCTCCAAACACTACGAAACAAATTCAAAGTTGATTTCTGCAACTCCAGAAACACTTGTTTAAACTGCAAATATACCTATATTAATATAAAAAATAAACATATGCTAGAGAACAGCCACACAAGTTTACAGAACCCTCAACAGCACATGATTTCACATTTGAAGTATCAAGATCAGTTCAAACAGGGTATTTGGCACCTGATAGTCTACTTTTTCTTTCCATGTAATTCTCAGCCATCACTGTTCACTCACCACACATAGGATATTCACATCAACAAAAAAATCAATTTTTCTGATTCCCTTAGAAAAGGCATATTATTTTACCAATTCCACGCTTGCCTGTCTGTGGGCTAACACACAGAGGCTAGAAAACAGGAGCAGGTTGAGGAAAAAATACTTGAAAGTTATGAGGTTTTATGATATCTCTGGTGAAGCACTGGCAGAACTGGTACAAAAAAAAAAAAAATCTCTTGCAAGTACTGGTCATGGTTGGGATTACAATACGAAAACACATCTGTCGTAGAAGAACAGAAAGTGTCCCGTATAAAGGGCTCCACATCTCCCAACAACTGTCGTTTGGCTTAACATGAGGAATTACGGTACCGAAATGAGGTCAGACAATTAATGAGCAAAAATGAAAAACAGCAGCAATAAAAAATACTGAACAAGCTTCTTTTTAAAGCCATCTCTCCTCATGTTGCTACCTTTGTTAACACTGAGTGAGTAACACTAACCAATCATAAGAAAATCTAATTAATGAAGCAGAAAACCTTCCTTTAATCCCATCTTAAGAACAGATTATAAAGACACTTGTTCTCTCAGGTGCTTTGAAGCAATATATAACAAATCTACACTTACGGGAAAATTCGCTCTAAATACAGAAGCCTCTATTGTAGGGACGGTCTAGTAATTCTGGAGTACCTTGACTGAAGGACAGCCAAATTTACGTGACCTGAAATTGTTTTTGATGTTTTTAAGATCAAAACAACCACTTTTTAAAAACCAGTTCTTTGAAACACAGTAAGCAGAGCACCCCACTGAAGGCATCTCAATACTCTCCAATTACATTCAAAAGTCTCGGTCAAAAGACCTTTCATAATTTACTATGTACGTGTAGTCCTTGGGAAAAACTGCTTGCAGGCAAAACTAATTACAGAGTGATTGCATTTATCTTCACTGTGTGGTTTTGTTTATTCAGTGTTTGACTTAAAATGTCATACTCCCTAAGAAAACCTTCAGTGAACACTTAAGAATGGCTATAAAGGTCTTGAGTACTCTAAGTTGCCTATGAAAAGTTTTATTTTAATTAAGTCATCAAATATGAAGGATATTAACCATAAAATACAAGCTTTCTATTATTACTGATTCGGTAGTATTTATCATCACACAATGCACGTAAATATTTTAGGAATAACCTGCTTCTTTTAGAATACTTCGAAATTTACATATATTTTGCACAGCGTCATACTACATCAGGAAAAACTTCTAGATCCAGAGTAAACAGCCCTTTTTTATATTGAAAGAGTTGTGTATGTGTGTGGTTTTGGAGGTAGGTATTAAAGTTCACAAACAAACTTACCAATGCTTGTAGCTTCGGACAGTGTATAGAAAGTTGTATCAATGTGCTGTCAGTTATCTAGAAAGAAAAGAAACCAAACGATCGTAAGCAACAGACAGGAGGAGGGCCACCCCTCAAATAGGATATCTCTGTCTCTAGCAGATGACAGTTCTGCTATTTCTGGAAAACACCCAGTCACCTTTTGCTCTTCAAATATTTCCCTGTACAGAATTTTCCAATAATTCTTTTTATTTACTATCATAAACACGGTACTATTAATAAAAAACAAAGCACGTTTAACTGAAAGTCTAATGTTCTTATTGACACTGCATTCTTGCACTGGATGTACAAATTCCTTTTCATATTAAATCTCACCAAAACACATTCTTCCAAGTCCATCTTCTCCAGCTCGTGGCAATTCTAAAATAAACAAAAAACAAGCAGATAAATAAAAAGACTAAATAAAATAACATATAGACATAAAATCATGCACAGGGCTAGTAATATGGGAAAGCACAGCCTCCAAGAGGAAATTGTGAGCTAAATCCCTTCAATTATCTGATCACCATCAAAGGACAAAAAACAGTTAAAAAAAAAATATCCACAAGCAACACCACCTCCTCCCCAAACCTCTACATTTTCAGCCTTTCTCTTACTAAGTGAAGTTTCTCTCCCTTGCCCTGTAAGGTTTGGAACCTCTGCTTCCCTCCTCCCTCTTGGAGTCAGTTTCAATTCAAACCTGTGGTATTTGCAGCCTGTGCACTAAAGCTAACTCATCTGCATACAGGTGAATCCAACTTCTGAGTACCTCCACCAGACTAATTTGAAACACACTTGTGAAAGTCTGTGAAACACCTCTCTTCACCATCATACTTTAGAAAGAAGCCTTAAAACCAATTTGCTTTGTTAATGAATGCTGAAAATATTAAAATGGGGTCCACTTTAAGGCTGGGAGAAAGCTGCAATTTTCCCAATATTCTGAGAGATCCCTAGCAAGCTTTTAGAAGTGCTTTCAATGACTGATCATGATTAATGAGACGAACACCACGTCACCTTCTGACTTCACAGCAGACCACATGGTGCCATGGCTCGGCCCAGACCCTAAACTCTGTTATTTACAGGCAAAGGAAAAAATGGTTCAACTTGCAGCTCTCTGAAGCAGGCTTGAGGTGACTACCCAAAGCCCAGGCCTGCAGAGCGGAATGATTAGAAAACCACTGTTTAACCACTGTGGCTAGAAAAAAAAAAAATTAATTCACACTAAGTATCAGTAGTGTAAATGAATCTTGTTTACAGAGTATTATTTTTGTGTTCAGATTTCCTAAACCAGCAAGCATGCAAGTCTAACTTGAAGCACTTTATACAATCTATATGCTTACTTTACATACTTACAGCATGAATCAGGGCACAAGTGCTTATAGTTTATAATGCATAATGTAAGTATTTTTGTAACTTAAAAGGTATGGTCAGAATAATCTATTTTATGGTGATTTTGGGGGTGTAAATATCACAAGGGTATGTATCATCTTTATAGGGGAAATTTGGTTGGAATATGGAACACAAGTTTAGAATTATTTAAGCATAATAAATCCAACTGAAACACACTAAAAAAAAAGAGGGGAAAAAAAGTGAAAAATGCAACGATAGATGGCAAAATAGATCAAGTTGCAGCTCTAAGTATAATCCAGAAATAAAATCACTTTCTAGTCCCCTCCTCCACTGGGTTCTTCCTACTTGATTTTTGTTCTTCTCATGTTCTTTCCCAGCAGGACTACATCAATTCCCAGCTGCTCTGCAGCCATGAAAACAAGGCAAGCTCTAATCTTCTGAAATGACCCTTACCCGTGCTAAAAGGGTAAAACCAGCATCTGTAAGATGTGAACATCTTGCAGCTTCCAAAATCCTGGAAAAATTTTAAATGTTACAGAAAACATTAACATAGAGAAAAGCAAATGCATTTGAGATACAAATTTGTCTTCTGCAACTTAAAGCTCTTAATAGCAAATGTATATATATGCCTATTTTTCACAGTAATTTGCAATTAAAAAGCACTAGGCAGACTTTTGATCCAGTTTATCAGAGGATTCTAATAGTCACAGAACAGATTAAGTTCAATTCTCAATTCTCAACATTTAGTGGAAAAATTATACATAATTACAGGCATTTTGACCTCTTGTTTCAGTAAGACAGCATAATACTCAAGTTTTCTCATGTGTTATGTGAGGAAACATATGGGAGAATAAACCAAAAAATTAAGGACAATGCAGATGAAGCCTGCATCTAAAACTTGTTATCTAAACAAAACTGAGAAACTGCTTACTAGAAATTCACTCAGCCTCTGCATGAAGCACAATGAGGCAAGTTACCAGAAAGCAAGGAGCTTGAATTCTCCAAGCCCACAGTAAAAACAATAAACTACAGCCTCACAGCCTTAAAGAATATAACACAGTGTTTTGGAAAGATAAACCCAACACTTTTGAGATGTACTGGGGAGCAGTACTGACAAAAAAAGGTCAACTGCCCCAAACAGCACTACTACCACATAGAACAGGCCTCCATCCTGTACCTGTTTTTTTTGTCATCGTTTTCTTTTTCTTTTTTTTTCAATGAACACTTTTTACTTTGCAGGTGGAGCAAGTACCAAGATGAATAAGGGGAAACCACAGCACTGTGCAACAAGAAGCACAAACTATGTGCAGCTTACCCACTCGCCACAGCAAACACTACCTCTACACTGGTGTCGGTGGGGGAGGAGGCAGGGCGAGGTGGCCAGAAGAACCTCTTGCTGTGGTAATGCTTAAAGGCATCTAGATCCTTCCACTGATTTAGGAGAGTATTAGGAAGCACTCTCTCCATGGATAAAGTGCAAAGGGAGAAGCCATGCTGGGTGCATGAGAAAAATACAGCCCACCAGAGTACAGGATGTGAGGCTCTGACTATGACTTTGCTCCATCAATCTTTTCCAAGCAACAAGCAAGAGCGCAGCTGAGCTTAGAGGCAAGCAGCCCCACAGGCTACATCCTTGATAACCACTTCCAGAGTGCTAGTCTTCAAAGAATTTCAGAAGTGTGATGGAAACTCCAGAGCAGCCAACAGAAAGGTACAAGACAGGTACTGATTTCCAAGCGGATGGTCTTAACACCTCTGGATTTTCTTTCCAGACTCACATTTGGGAACTCTGTGCCCTTCATGAAGGGCAGTAAGCAGCCTACCATAAAATATTCTTGGCTACTCTGAAAGTTACCTTGAATGCCAGACAGGAAGGGAAAAAACTCACCACTAACAAGAAAAAACGTTTCAGGTCACATTTGTTGCCTTTACCTCATTTACTTGCTTTCAACCCCATCTACAGGTAAATCCATTGGATGCCCAACTCCATTATATTTCTGACTTTAAAGGGAACGGGGGGAAATGACATCCACAGTGTGCAAAGTAGTGGGGATGCTACTTAAAGCACATCTGGTTAAAAATCTCTGAAGAATATGGGAACAGCAGAGTAAGAAACCAGAAGACTAGCAGATGTAGCCTTCCTGAAATTGGGTTTGCGGTCAGTCAGAAGAGCAGAATGGGGAGAGTGACCTATGTATACACACTGCATCAATCAGGCCCCAGTATGAAAAATGGGAGGGAAGACACTGGTCAGCATGAAAATGAGCAAAGTTCTAATTTTTGCTTTGTTTTAGTCATTGTACTCAATGACAGAGGGCTCTTCTTTTTCCAGACACAGCTGACTTTTATTTCCCGTACTTCATGACAAGGTACCTAGCCTAGGAGCTGATGAGGCAAAACGGTATCCAAGAGCAGATTCCCCATTCTTATAAAGCAACAGTCTCTGAGACAGACCTCACAGGTGCATTCATTGTCTACAGATGTCTTTTGGGGACACCTGGAGTGTCTCTGCACTTAGTACCTCTCTACTCCTGTTGAATTAGCAGTAGGTGGGAGAAAACATTGGTGGGGTTAAGGCAATCTGATCCTAATTTTCACAGCCCCACCTAGACAAAGACATTCATGATTCATGGCTGCTTTTCTCTATAAGCCTCACCAAATTTTAACACTAAAAAGTGCTAAAACACAAAAACAGAGAAGGTACCAAGCACTTAAGCGAGCAGATATAAAAAGGGATGAGGAAATAGCTGTATCGTCATGTAGCTGAAAAAAACAGCTGAAGGGAGTTGGTTACGCTTAGCGTCTTTTTTCAAGGAGATGTCATTTGTGAGTGGTAACAGCTGTAGAACACAGTGGTATCGTGGAAAGCAGCACAGTAAGTAAGACATCCAAGACCCTGAAGTGAGAGTAGCACAGCACAGCAAGTATTCAAAAGCCTCTAACAGGGCCAGCACGTCCAAGAGAGGCACGAGAGTTTTCTTTCATACTCAACACCGAAATACTCAGAAGGTACAGACAAGTGTGAAATTACATTTCCCTTTGATTTCCAATGTAATTTTTATCCAGTACTTTCCATACATGATCCCAAAAGTCCAGATGGAACCAGTTGTATCTTCTGTCCTTCCACCACACAATTCTCTGCAGTAATCACTGCAAAGGGTGGGTTTTTTCCTTACACTGTTCCTCACTGAAGTTGAAGAACAGCAGACGCCTTCCCCCTCGTGGCACAGACCAGGGCTAACAGTTTACCTACCCAAGTCAAAACAATTCCTGCTACGGTTGTACTGCTCTTGGAAAGAACTGCACAACTAACAGCACTTTAGACCTCCTTTCATTTCCAATCTGAGTTCTGAATTGAGATAATGAGAGAAATAGCAGAAAAACACCAGTAATAACAGCACAGCTTTCTAAAGAACACAATTAAGTGTGTCAGAAGACTCCTAAGCCCCAAACATGGGCACACGTAAGCTCTGTTAAGTATGAACGGTTACATGAAGGGGGCTGACTCTGGAATTGTCTTAAGGACGGGTTTTCTACAGTAACAAAAGCTCTTTTTCACTCAATGAGCTAAAGGAACACGGCCTGACAGCATATTGCACACTGGCATTTCAATGTAGCTTCTCCTAATTTTTACAATCCACACTGTCCTCCCATTTATCTGTGACTGAAGTACAACAAGTCTGACTCCTGCACATTCCTGTCAGAAATGGCAATTTAGTGTCATCCAAAAACCTTTTGTTTTGATTTAATTTACATTAAAATTAGACCTTAGAAGAAGTCGTATATGTCTCTACGACCATACAAAGTGGTATATAGTAGTATATATATATTTTTTTGCAAGACAAACAACTGTATAAAACCACATCAGAGTACAAACATCACAAGACACAACACAACTACAGATATTTTTACCTTTTAAAAAAATAATGGGCTTTATATCTTCTTTTCTTCTGGCTTGTAATTAGTACCTAAAATATTTAGCTAGAAGCACAGAATTGAACTGCTAGGTTCAACATGGTTTATTTGTCATATATTAATTCTTATTTTTCAAATATACAGTGGGCTACATTCATATGACAGCTACAGAAGACCAGCCCTCAAGTTTACATTCAGCTGGTACTTCCAACTTAATGTTTTGATTACAAAGGTAACACAAACAACACAAAGCTAAATTAAACCTGATTATCTTCAGAAGTGAATTGCTTAGACCAGGCCAGTAACAACGTGACATACTTACAACATGCTGATGACATACTCACTTCAGCCTTGGACAGTTTAAACCAAGTGCTGTGAGAGAAGCATCTGTAAGGTTGCTACAGCCTGAAACACAGAGCGACTGAAGTCTATGACATCCTCTACAGATTTTTACAATGCCTTCATCTGAAATTTGCTGAAACACAGAAGAAGGCTGAAGTTACTTCATTATCAAGTAATCAGCTAAGAACAAAAATCAAGTCATATTACTGAACTGTTGGTGTCACACTGTATAAAACATGGCAACCTGTCCATTTTCAACCAAAAAACACCATCATGAAACCATATCCATCGGTAACACTGAAGATAACCCACACACAAAATTCCTACTTATCTATGTATTTTTTCACAGATCTCAAGTATTGCTCAAAGGCATTCTGAAGCACAGAGGAAGAGTTGTTTGTTGCTGTCTTCCTCTTTCACATTGTTTTTGCTTTACAATCTTCACATAATTTCTTTTAATTGTAGTTGTCATTGTGTGAAATAGCTTGCTTTTTATATGTTTGTAGAGTTCAGGTCTTCTGTTCCAGAGACTGTGTAAGTTCAGGAACAGTGCGAAAGAGAGCTTAAAGCTTGACAGCAGGACCACTACCTATCTATTTAGCACTGGAGCAGTAGAACCCAAGGGTAAAAAACCTTCACCTCCAGATGATTTTCAAAGCAAGAGTTACAGGTAAACAATTATCTATAATCCGCTCTCTACAGAAGACAAGGTAGGTTTGCCCTACCCTATGCAGTTGTCTCTAGCTGAAAGATTTAACTCAAAAAAGGGTTTTTCATTTCTCAAAATTGCTTTGTACTAGATATTCTGAAAAAAGTAACTCTAAATTTGGAATATGAAGCAAAATTTTTCTGAAACAGGAATTATAAGAAATAGCCTCAATGCAGCTGCACATGCAATAGCATGAGGAACTAAGTTATTGGGGGATGTGCAAATATTTTGTTTATAGGTCTTCTATTCTGGAAAAAGTATTCTCTCCTTCTCCCACTCCTAACTCCAAGAATTTAATCTTTCTGCTGAATGGCTAATACTTCATGGTGAAACAGGTTATTTTATTTCCTGGCCTAACATTACTCTCTCTTCCAATGACAACAAAGACCTCTACTGTATTTTGAATTGAAAATATACATTCCTTTTATAAGCTACTCTTCCAGGTATGCTAATACTACTGTAGCATATTTCTGAGGCTATTGCCACAAACATTACCCTTCATAGATGAAAACAGGATGAGAAATAGCAGTAGCTCAGCATAAAGGGAGATCATCTTACACCCCCTCCCCCAACCTAGCACTTTTTAATATCACTAGTTTAAATTTGCGAATTGTTCTGTCAAATAAAAACTATTGCAGAAAGAAAACCAAAAGTCTTGTCTTCTTTTTGTGGATCCAGAAGGATTTCCACCATCTACAGATAAAAATATTTTTTCTGAAACTGTTTTATTCCCTTTGAGAGATACTCTTAACATTGTTATTGGGAAAAGGAACTATTTTGGAGGTAAGGACTATGTACATTTTAAGCTGCTGCTAGGGATGGTCAAAACCCTCAAGTTACATACGAAAATTTTCCATTCTGAAATTGCTTGTGGTTTCAATGCCTACATCTCTTTCAGGAAAGAAAAGTGCTCAAAAAATGCCTGCAAGTCCTCAGGTTCCACATTTTGAAGATGGTATCTTTCAGACGTGCAGTTTCCAGAGTTTATATCAGTTTATTCCACAGCTGCTGGAGCTAGCCTGGCATTTTACAAGGTCCATAAAACAGAGCCACTAAAATTAAAGTGTGGATCATATAAACCACAAAGAGACTTGCTGTGTAAAAATCAGAGCTAGCCCTTTGATCATGAAGAGCCTGGCTGCTTCTGGAAGCATGTTTCTAAGCCACAGTAAGCAGGACACATCTCCAGTGAAATAAAGCTTTAAAGCACACATAACTAGGTAGGACACACAGACTATCCACTGAAAATTTCAAAGGGAAAAATACTTTCACTCACAAGGGGGTTTTTGTTGGTACTTAGTATCTACATGTCCACAAACATACTGGCCAAGGGAAAACTCTGGGACGCTTCTATGCCAATGCCTCTTTTAAGCAGGACAGATCATAACTGATTAACATCAGACCTCTTGAGAGCCTTCCACAAAAATAATCAGAAAAGGCTGGCCTTGATATATCTCATGAGTCTCAGGTAAAACACAACAGAAAATGAACTTCGGAGGAAGAGGACAGCAAAGAGAAGAGTGAAAGGGGAGGAAATTACATACTGACTTTATTTATTTAAGTGTGGTTCTGACCAAAAGAAGGAACTTCCCTTTCATTCCTGTTATCTATAGGTTCCCAACTTCAGTGGGTACCTAAATTCAGATTGAAAAATCTGAAAATTCTTTTTTATTAAACATCTGGCTTATGGAAGCTCAAGCTTTGTATTCATGTTATTCTTAATTTCTGCAATTTTTAATAGAACTTTTCATAATTCCTAATGCTCAAAAATGTTTAACACTTTAAAGAAAACTATTAGGTCCAAAAATATTCATCCAATCTTCATAAAAAATGGTCCCATGCCACATTCATTAGGAACAACGTGTAAAACAGATTTGAAAGTTCTAGCCCAAGCAGATTTTATGATATCTTCTAGCAATAAAACTGTAGAAAACTTTCCAAAAGCGAAAAAAAAAATAATCTAACTTCATTATTTAAATTTGCATGACAGAAATGCTCAAATTCTAATTTATTTCAATATTTTATAAGATTTATTTACAAAGAATGACATAAATACACTTAAAATCTAAAAGGATATCTTTCCCATTCCTAGAAAGTCACATCGGAGACAACAAAAAAGCAAATATAAAACGCAGCAAATCTAATTTTTGTGTACTCTCTAAGTAGAATTAAAAATACATGAATGATTCCCAGTCATTTCATTATAAATGAATGTGTTCTTCCATTATTATTGAAAAAGCATGTCCTTCTCCTGCTACCTAAATGGTTCTGAATCATCTTCAGTTATGCTGCCATTCCATTTTACTCTCAATTATGTAGCCCAGAATATGGCTTCTGCTCAATTAGAAATCTTAAAATTATGAACAGATCAAAATGTTTCACTTCAACAGATGGGAAAACAAGAACTACATCTGTAAGACTGCACGGTTTAGCGCATACACAGTTCATGAGATTTGAATGAATGCAGTTAATTCTTACTCTAGAGCTTGCTACACTTAAGATATAATGAGGGAAAAAAACCCACCAAAAACAAACCCAACACTCCAAACCCACACTCAGCTGTACAAACAGCCAGCTCATTTAAAACCTCTATTCCACACAAAATTCTGTAATCTGCAGAGATGTACTATTTGAATTATTTAAGTGTGTAGCAGATAAATTCCTTAGCATTCAAAACTGGTTTATGATTCTTAAAGAATGTATCTTTCGAAGCTTCGAATACTTACTGTACAGGATTGCAAATTCAGGATTACAAGTTCATGGCAGTGATTTTGAATGTGTTTCAATGCTTCATCTTCTAACTGTATTTAGCAATTAAATCGAACATAGGAAAAGAAACAAGAAATTAAAAGCACAGCAAAGCAGCTGAAAGAATGTACACATCTTGTAATACAGAACAAAAGACTATAACAAAACGAGTATTTTTTAATTCATGGAGATTTCAAAAACGCAAAATAAAATTTTATTCCTAAAGGATCACCCAAGCAGTTATGTACCTGTGTGCAACCTCTAAGAAATAGAGCTTTTAGTCCACTACACCCTTTCACCAGTGCTTCAATACCATCCTTCGTAATCTGATCACACCAGGAAAGATTCAAATGTTCCAGATTTCTGCAACCCTCACTGGGAGAATTAAAAAAATACATATAGTTAAATCCAGCCTTCAAATAGTCATAACAGTGGGAAACCCAAATTAAACACACTGTTAGAAATTAATGATAGCCAGTGGACTGCGCCAGGCCTCCACAGAACAGTCACGAGAAAAGACCACACACAAACATCATAGCCTACGCCCAAGCATTATGTATCAGATACAGTCAGTGCTGATAGACTGTATTAACGTTCAGCACTGATTTTTTTAACTTTATTAAATGCTGAACAGCTCTTTAAATGCTTTTCTTTAACACAAAACCCTGAATCTTCTTACCTTAAGCCTTTCAAAGAGCTGTTTGTGATGGCTACGCAAGATGTCAGATCCAGATGTTTCAGCTTGGAACAGAATCTGCTAAGACTGTAACACGTGCTGCAAAACAGCAGACACACTAAAAATACCTTCAGCTACTTCTTTTTCCAAATTTTCCCATCAAATAAAAAACCCCTTTGACTTACCTGTCAGTGATTTTTGTGCACCCGTTCAGATTTAAGTGTTCGATGTTTCTACAGTTCTGTGCAAAGGTCCTAAAACAGCAACAAAAAGCTGGAGAATTAATGTAACGTCAGGAGTTGTAATACAGTCACTAGAGTGCGCTCTGTCCCCTACCTCCTTCCACCTCACTCAAAAAGCTTAATCTTCCAGCCACAGAGTAATTACAAAGTACATCTCAAACATATCTGTCTCAGAGGTTGCTTTTTTCCTTTTGCTATTGCACGTTTCCCTCTTAGCTAACTCCTGAAACTAAGTCTTGTTCCTCTCTCAAATACCATTTGAGCAAGGTGTTTGTCACCTATAAGCCAGAACTGACTTGCTTCTAATGCCTTAACTAAAAACATTAATTACGGGTTTAATTAAGGATATTAAACAGAAAGGTTTAAATATCACATTAGTTAAATATTAAGCTGCTGGGGAGAGTTTTCACACATCTCATTACTAAAGCCTTTGTAGATCTTATTAAGGAGCTCACTCCCACATCAAGTGAAAAGGAACGTACCCTGCGCATAACAGGAGTGAGACCTGAGCCTACTGGACTGCTAATGGAAAGCCCTGTGGGTCACAAACTAGTTATTTATGATTTCGAAAATTAACATGTATCTGTCTGCACTACTTGGTAGGAACTCTAAGGATGATTGGAGCTATTATCCTGTTAAAAGTCTGTATGTATCATTATACTAATTACCCAGAAGAAATACATAAACTGTCTTTTCATCTCTGCAGAATAATATTTACAGCTGCATTGCATTTCAGAACACTGTTTTTATGCCCATGTTTCCTCCAACTGCATAGATTTTATTGGCAGGGGTGGAGGAAACACAGAGGAACAGTTTTGTCTGGAGGCTTGCCGTAGTTAACAGATCCCACTACACACTCAGCTGCTAACAACTTCCTGGCTCTCCTGCGTGGACTGAAAACAATGGAAAAAAACCCAGCACGGAGTTATACTGGTGAGAGTTTCCACTTGAATTCTCAAAACAGCTATTCCAAAATTCACGTTCTGGAGGGAGATTTACAATCAAGACACTCTTCAAATCACTTGGAAAGACACTACACCCTGTAATAACTTGCAGGGACGGCAAACTTTGTCTCTGAGATTCAAGTATTGGGCATGTCCTGACAGAGCTGCCCAAACATTCAGTACTTACATAGCCAATATCTACTTTGGTAATTGGCTATTTTTAAACAAAAGTTGATGCAGAAGAATGATAAATAGAAAAAATAACATCACCCACAAAACTAATGGATCTGGAAATAGCTCAACACAAAAAGCCTGATAGGAAAAGTCGCTTTCAGAACAAGCATCTGAAAATTAACGTCACCTTTCTCATGCTACTGTTTTGAAAGTCTTAAAGCTCATGCCTTTATCATTCATTTGGTAATTTCAATATCATCTGCTTTTATTTCAGGGGTGAACCGTCTTCTTTCCTAAAGCATCTTAGACACCACTATCTGCACCAGTTAGTTGTTACAGATGCACGTGTGAATACTGGTAACACACTGGTAGTCAGTCTCAGCTACGCCTGTTCGATTACCTGCTAGCATGACTAGCTGTATCATCCATACAATCTACACATGCTATACAATGAACTGCTGTACACTTATTCTAAGTATCTGTTTACTAAATAAATCATTATTTAAAAATATCCCACATCCAGCCCTCCCCTCTTCTCACATGCCACTAAAACCTGAACCCACTTAAGATTTTTGGTCTTATTCACAACCCTCACTGCAGCCCCTAGCCTTAGTGTCCTGAAAAGCACAGCTGGGAGCCTAAATCAAATGTGAAAATGGAGTTACTGGAGGGAAAACTGTTACCTACTGTCCTGACTCTTTCTTCCTACACCCTTCTTCTCATCGTCTTTCCCACTACCTCCTCCCCATAGTAGTTGCCACCTCTCTCGGAGCCTGCCTTCCCCCTCTCCTCCGCTTCTGCTACTGCCTTCCCTACTGAGGGCAGGACTGTCTGCGTGAATGCTCTGGGAACTCGAGAGGAGCACTGCAGAAAGTTAACTCTGGTTGGGGCTACCACTTTTATGACAGCAATTGTCAGTAATCTGGGAGATGGGAATAACACGCACTTCCCCTGAGGAGGCAGGACTGCCTGAAGGTAGTGACGCACCAGGGAGCAGTTAGTTAAGCAACAGATTGCTTTAGTAACCCAAATGTGCATCCTGGCTTCAGACCTGAAGATTTCCCCAGAGCTTTCCTTCCCTCTATCCCTTAACTAGCTGCTGGATGAGTTTACTCTAGAGACAAAAAAATCAGTGAATTAGACTTACTTATAAATTTTTGAAAGAGCTAAAGGCCACAATCACTAACAATGCCCACTGCTTAACAAAAATCTTTGTGCTTATATTTTCCATCTAAGAATGGCCATGCTACATCAGACTGACGTCCTTCAGCCCAGTCTCCTGGGACAGGGGAGGAAAGCAAAACGGCAAAAAGCCACACCCTGAGGCTTCCTCCAAATACTCCTTGAGCCCTGAAGTGCTTGCAGCTTAGGGACCCTTCAGATGGGGGTAGGATCTTTGGGTTTAAATACTCAGAGAAATATCTACAGAGGAATCTGGCTAAACAGTTTGCACACAGAAAAAACTTATATGGATTCAAACTACTTTCTGAGAACAAACTGCACAGTTCAATTTATATACTGTGTAAAGAAAGGCCAATGACTCTATTTAGAGACTCCTGAGATGTTTCTGTTGCCTGCCTGTTGTTATATTAGAGAAAGAAGAGAATCCCAGGCCTTTCCCAATTTTGTAGGCACTCAATCTTATCAGTCTTTATTCTTCCTCCTATTGCTAGCATCACCTCTTGTCCAGACTAGAAGATAAACTATAAACTGACTGACTACTAATCTTGACTGGGATTTCTTGACGAAATTAATATTGTAGGATGCCAGAGTATAGGTTTGAAAACATTTTAACTGCTCGAAAATTGAGAGATACCAACATAATACTACCAAAAGACACATTTCTGAAAAGCACAGTTCTCATTTCTTAGTTCATTTCAAGAAAATAACAGTAGCTATACTTTGATCTCAAACTGACATCTCATTTAGTCATTATTAAGGTACTTAGTACTTACTCAAGTATCTCATTTTGGTCATTAGTCAGTACTTAGAAATCCAAACAAATGTAACAATAATTGCTTTTAGTCCGGACATTAGGAAATAAGTGATGTCTCATTCTAGGACTTTACTTACTTTAAAGAGGAGTCTCCAACACTAAGACATCCTCTCAGACTAAGTTGTCTCAGGAACCCACCACACCTTTTCGATATATTTTCCACAACACGACCCTTAAACCAAATAAAAGGAAGATTTTGTTGAGTTTTATTCTGACATAACATTCTAACCAAATTAAAAATGCCAGGAGTGAAGACCAGCCCCCGCTATACCCCACCAGAACTACACCTCGAATTTCTTGAACTACTTTAAGAAAAAAGTTACCTGTTGAGAATCTCCACTCGCATTGAAGTGCTATTCAATTCAGCCTTCAGTTTCCTCCTCCTTTTTTTCAGTCTACCACACTTAGCTCAATTTTTTGCCTCAGCAAAACCTACCTATTAAGACTGCTAAAACGATCTTCAAGATTTGTCAGACG